GCTGTTTTTCCAGGCCTTCGGCCGCTGACACAATAATACCCCGTCAAGTCTAGCAGAACACACTGTTGTGTCGGATAATCAACCACACACACACACACACTGAGTTTCTGACTCCGTCGAAGAGCCTGTCTCTTTAAACATTCAGATTTCCTTAAGGAAACACGAAAGCATGCGAGACCGAAAAAAAGAACAGTGTTTTGAATGTGCAATTTAATATTGTGCAACATGTTTGTTTTGTTTTTTTCAAGAAATTAATAGACTTAGCAAGGATGCATTAAATTGATCAAAATTGTCAATTAATAATGTTACAAAAGATTATATTAAAAAAAAGCTGTTTTGAAAGAATCCTGAAACAAAATGTATCACTGTTTCTGTAAAAATATGAAGACGGTTTTCAACATTGATAATAATTAAGCTTTGATCGCAGAAATAAATTACACTTTAAAGGAGTAGTTCACTATTGCTGATAATTTACTCACCCCCAATGTCATCCAAGATGTCCATGTCTTTCTTTCTTCAGTCGAAAAGAAATTAAGGTTTTTGATGAAATCATTCCAGGATTTTCTCCATATAATGGACTTCAATGGGAACCAAACGGTTCAAGGTCCAAAAGACAGTTTTAGTGCAAACTCTCCAGTTCGAAGTCAGTCATCAAAATGAACAAATCTTTTTCCGAGTCAATTCGTTCGTTTCGTTCTTTGAATGAATCAAATGACTCAGAAAAAGATTCGTTCATTTTGATGAACGAGTTCAAACAAGAGAGTCATGAACAGAACAGAGCAAGGCGAGCATTTGTGCTTATAAAACTTAAACTTTGTTATTTTTTAAAAAATGACCGCTCGTTTCGCTTGATAAGACCCTTATTCATCGTCTGGTGTCGTTTAAAGCCCTTTGAAGCTGCACTGAAACTCTCATTTGGACCTTGAACCGTTTGGACCCCATTGAGGTCCATTATATGAATGTTTTCATCAAAAACCTTCATTTCTTTTCGACTGAAGAAAGAAAGACATGGACATCTTGGATGACATGGGGGTGAGTAAATTATCAGAAAAAGTTTTTTTTTTTTTAAAGTGAACTACTCCTTTAACATATATTAAAATACTTCACAATATTACTGTTTTTCTATCTCACAGACCCCAAAACGTATATACAATAGTATGAAATATCATAATTTGTTTAAAATTTGCTTTTAAAATTGTGGTTTTAACACAATTTAACCGACAAATATTCAATGATGTTATAAATATAAACTATGTATAAAATTGGGAAAAGGTTTTAGAAAGCTAATTTTCCCACTGATGTTTAATAATCACACTGTAGAACCAGAAATAGGTTAACCTCCAGAGCTCAGGACGGCACACTTCTCTGACCCAGCTAGAACACATCCATTGACACGGCTCGGCCATTACTGTCCTCGAGGGCCGGACGTTTACAGCAGATTTAGGCCTGACCTCTCACGGGACAGGGGTTACCACGGGACAAAGGGAATGCCTGTGTTTGCTGACGGGTCAGTCCCCACTGTAGTTCATAGAGACAGATGTAGTTTGTGTGCTGGAAATGACTAAAACAATTCTTTTATACTGGAAAGTGTTGCCATAATGGAAACCGATCATAGCGACAACTCTCGAAAAAGTCTTATTTATTGTTTTTTTCATGTTGGAATAGAGACAGCTCAAAGGTCTGTAATTAAAATGAATGAATGAGTGTGTGTGTTATATAACGTGGTATTCTGTCTGTCTCTGGGGCTCACGGTCGGTCCAAACGCTAGTTTCTGCTCAGCCTGATATTTTATACACTTACACACACTGAAAGATGGGTGATGTAACCGTTTATGTGTAAACTAAACAATTTTCTTTCTTTATTTTCTTTATTATTAAACTAATCCGACTCAATTCTGGTGTCTATCCAATTTCTATGTGAACCCGGAGATTTCACTATTATTATTTTTCTTTTATTGAACTTTTATATGTTTTAATTTGATATTTTTTTATGAAAGCATTGTTTGTATCTTGTTTCTATTCTTGCGAAGCTCTTTGAAATGCTATTTTTACGGCGCTATAGAAAATAAAGTCATGATCCAGTCAAAAGTAGATTAAAGCTTCATTTTTCTTCATTGATCCTCTCTTTCACCTGGATATATAAGATTATGGAAGTCATTTAAATAACCATGTCATGCATGAATGTCTGTGGATAATCCAGCATTAATCCAGAATTCAGTTCTTTACATAACATACCTTTTCCATCTCAAATGTGCAGCTTTTGTTTTACAGATTCACATACTAATGATTATTTTGGAAACCACTTTTTAGGCATTTGCCACTTTTACACTCAAAATACTTAAATGTAATTATCTGTTTTAGAAATTGTTGTTTTTAGAAATTATACACTGTAAAAAAATAATACACTAAATACTAATTAAAATTGTGGCAACAGGTCACAAGCAATATTATTAATTCAATTTAACAATTAAGAATTTAATTAGAATTAATCAACTATTTAAATTGAGTAACTGCAAACGGCACAAAAACACTTTATTTTTTATTACCAACATTGAAGACAACGTTGAACATCTAAACCTGTTAATTTTCAAAAAGAGCTGTAGACAAATGACACTAATGAAGTCTGTCTGGTTTATAACAAGAGAGATTTAATGTCTTTTCGGTTGATGTTATCTAAGGCTGGCTGGAAGTCTGGCAGTCTTTCCTTGAGTTATTCTTCTTGTTATCATCAGATCTGGAAGGACTTGGAAGTAAAAAAAAACATGATTTTAAACAGCCGTATTTCTTTGTTTAATGAAGAGGCAAAAAAAAAAAAAAAAAATAGGGAAGCACCGATCATGATTTTGATTGATTTTTTTCAAGGAAATGGGACAATTCTGCTCATTTTTCTTAGGCCGCACACACCCCAGTGAAGACTTCTCTCTCTTTGTGAAACGGATGCAATTATTTTCTTAATTAAGCCTGGTGTAGCTCAATATTGTCCTGCCTCCTGGCTCAGGGTGGTATAGAAGAAAAGGACATGTTGATGTTCTTGTTTTTTTTGGTCACAACACAGTGATGATACATTATCACAACAACATGAAAATACAGTTTGTATTATTTTATGTTAATTTACATACTTAAAACTGCAACTTTAGTAGTTTATATTTTAAAACCAACATGTAATCAATAATGACCCTATTTACTATGTTGCACATTATCTTAAATAGCTAAATGTTTTCAAAAGAGACATTGAAGACTGGAGTAATGATGTTGAAAATTCAAAAATATTCACATAGAAAACAGCTCTTTTAAACTGTAATAATATTTCACTGTTTTTACTGTATTTTTGATCAAATAATTGCATCCTTGGTTACCAGGAGACATTTTTAAAACATTAAAAAATCTTTATGGCAGGTATCCTGAAAGTGAAATAAACTCATGAATAATCAAACAAAATGTGTCCATTTAAGCATGTTTCTTAAAAGTGTTCATCATACACTCTAAAAAATGCTGGGTTGTTTTAACCCAATTTTGGGTCAAATATGGACAAACCTGAAATGTTGGGTTAAAAATGTAATGTAAAAATTTAACCCAACGGCTGGGTTAGTCCATATTTGACCCAAAGTTGGGTTAAAACAACCCAGCATTTTTTAGAGTGTATAAAGATGAAATTCGAAAAATTAGAATATCGTTCATTTATTTCAGAAATGCAACTTAAAAGGTGAAACTAATATATTATATAGACTCATTACATGCATCGTTACAATTTTGATGATTATGGCTGATGAAAACATTTTCACAATATTCTCATTTTGAATTTGCACGATATTCAAATTTTCATGTTTCGCCAACGCTATCTCACGACCAATTCCTACGAGTGATTAAAAAGTGGCTAATTTGTACTAATTCATACGACCTCACTCATATGAATTCGTACGATTTGTCTAAACCCACGTGATGGGTAGGTTTAGGGGCGGGGTCAGAGGTAGGTAATTCGTACGAACTCATACGAAGTGGCTAATTTGTACTAATTCATACAACCTCACTCATATGAATTCGTACGATTTGTCTAAACCCACGTGATGGGTAGGTTTAGGGGCGGGGTCAGGGGTAGGTAATTTGTACGAATTCATACGAAGTGGCTAATTTGTACTAATTCATACGACCTCACTCATATGAATTCGTACGATTTGTCTAAACCCACGTGATGGGTAGGTTTAGGGGCGGGGTCAGGGGTAGGTAATTTGTACGAATTCATACGAAGTGGCTAATTTGTACTAATTCATACGACCTCACTCATATGAATTCGTACGATTTGTCTAAACCCACGTGATGGGTAGGTTTAGGGGCGGGGTCAGGGGTAGGTAATTTGTACGAATTCATACGAAGTGGCTAATTTGTACTAATTCATACGACCTCACTCATATGAATTCGTACGATTTGTCTAAACCCACGTGATGGGTAGGTTTAGGGGCGGGGTCAGGGGTAGGTAATTCGTACGAATTCATACGAAGTGGCTAATTTGTACTAATTCATTTACCTCACTCATATGAATTCGTACGATTTGTCTAAACCCACGTGATGGGTAGGTTTAGGGGCGGGGTCAGAGGTAGGTAATTCGTACGAATTCATACGAAGTGGCTAATTTGTACTAATTCATACGACCTCACTCATATGATTTCGTACGATTTGTCTAAACCCACGTGATGGGTAGGTTTAGGGGCGGGGTCAGAGGTAGGTAATTCGTACGAATTCATACGAAGTGGCTAATTTGTACTAATTCATACGACCTCACTCATATGATTTCGTACGATTTGTCTAAACCCACGTGATGTGTAGGTTTAGGTTTATTGGCCAATTCGTAAAATATGTACGATCTAGAAAAATCTTACTACTGTAATTCTTACGAGTGAGGTCGTTAGCCACCTCGTAAAATTCGTACGAATTCCCGTGAGATTGGGTTGGTTTCCCCTGTACTCTACTATTTCAATACTGATGATAAATTGCTTTATTTTCCAGGATGGTTCCAGGCGGTGCAAGGAAAGGAAAAAGACGGTGTCGTTCAGCAGCATGCCAACAGAGAAGAAGATCAGCAGTGCGAGCGACTGCATTAACTCTATGGTGGACGGGTCCGAACTGAGGAAGGTGCGCTCCAACTCGAGAGTCTACTACCGATACTTTCTCCTAGACGCCGACATGCAGTCTCTGCGGTGGGAGCCGTCCAAAAAAGAGTCCGACAAGGCGAAGATTGACATAAAATCAATTAAAGAGGTGCGAACCGGTAAGAACACAGACACCTTCAGGGCCAACGGGATCTCGGATCAGATTTCCGAGGACTGCGCGTTCTCCATCATCTACGGGGAGAACTACGAATCGCTTGACTTAGTGGCAAATTCAGCCGACGTAGCAAATATATGGGTGACTGGACTCAGGTACTTAATATCGTATGGAAAACACACTCTTAATATGATTCAGAGCTGTCAGGACAACATGCGTGCGTCCTGGCTGGGTGACCTCTTCGACGAAGCGGACATCATCGGGGGGAAATGCATTAGTCTTTGCTCAGCCGTACAGCTGATCAAGAACTTAAGTCCCGGAGTGAAAAATGTCAAGATAGAGCTGAAGTTCAAAGAGTTGCACAAAGCGAGGGACAAAACCGGTTCTGACGTGACCAAGGAGGAGTTCATCGAAGTCTTTCACGACCTTTGCACGAGACCGGAAATTTATTTTTTGCTGGTGCAGTTCTCAAGCAACAAGGAATTCCTTGACACCAAGGACCTGATGATCTTTTTAGAGGCAGAGCAAGGCATGGCGAAGGTGAGCGAAGACATCAGTGTGGAAGTTATTCAGAAGTATGAACCCTCGAAGGAAGGGCAACTTAAGGGATGGCTCTCCCTGGATGGATTTACCAATTACCTCATGTCTGGGGAATGCCACATCTTTGATCCAGAGCAGAAAACAGTGTGCCAAGACATGAACCAACCCCTTTCCCACTATTACATAAACTCCTCTCACAACACGTACCTGATTGAGGACCAGTTCAAGGGTCCCTCGGACATTACCGGCTACATCCGTGCCCTAAAGATGGGCTGCAGGAGTGTGGAACTTGATGTGTGGGACGGCCCCGATAACGAACCGCTCATTTACACGGGCCACACGATGACCTCACAGATTGTCTTTCGCAGCGTCATCGACATCATCAGCAAGTATGCATTCGTGGCCTCGGAATTTCCCCTGATCCTGTGCTTGGAGAACCACTGTTCCCTGAAGCAGCAGAAGGTAATGTTCCAGCACCTGAAGAAAATACTCGGAGACCGAATTCACTCGGATCCTCCTAACCTGGACGACAGCTACCTTCCGTCCCCCTCGGACTTAAAGGGAAAGATTCTTCTGAAAGGAAAGAAACTGCCGAGCAACTGCACCGGCTCCGAAGGCGAGGTGACGGATGAGGACGAGGGTGCCGAGATGTCTCAACGGCTGAACAACGAGGGGAGTGAACAGCGGACGGTCGTTCAACCCAAAAACTTCCAGCTTTCCAAGGATCTCTCTGAAATGGTAACCTTATGCAAGTCTGTTAGTTTTAAGGACTTCCAGACTGCTTTCCAGAACCAGAAGCACTGGGAGCTCTGCTCCTTCAATGAGGTCTTTGCCAGTCGTTGTGCCACTGACCACCCTGGTGACTTCGTTAACTACAACAAGAAGTTCCTAGCGAGGGTTTACCCTAGCCCAATGCGAATCGATTCCAGCAACATGAACCCGCAGGACTTTTGGAAATGCGGCTGTCAAATAGTAGCAATGAACTATCAAACGCCAGGTCTCATGATGGACCTCAACATCGGCTGGTTTAGACAAAACGGCAACTGTGGTTACGTTCTACGCCCGGCTATCATGAGGGAGCAGGTGTCTTATTTCAGTGCCAATACGAAAGACTCAGTCCCGGGAGTGTCTCCACAGCTCCTTCACATAAAGATCATTAGCGGACAAAATTTCCCCAAACCCAAGGGTTCAGGCGCCAAGGGCGATGTGGTCGATCCCTACGTTTACGTTGAGATCCATGGCATCCCTGCGGATTGTGCAGAGCAAAGGACTAAAACGGTCCATCAGAATGGCGATAACCCAATCTTTGATGAGAGTTTCGAGTTTCAGATCAACCTTCCGGAACTGGCAATGGTGCGCTTTGTCGTTCTGGATGACGACTACATTGGGGACGAGTTTATCGGTCAGTACACGATCCCGTTTGAATGCATTCAGCCTGGCTTCCGCCACATTCCCCTCCAGTCTCTGACGGGTGAAGTCCTTCCACACGCCTGGCTCTTCGTCCACGTGGCCATTACGAACCGCCGGGGTGGGGGTAAGCCTCACAAAAGGGGGCTTTCAGTCCGCAAGAGTAAGCGGGGTCGGGAATACGCCAGTATGAGGATACTTCTCATCAAGGCTGTAGATGAAGTCTTTAAATCTGCTGCACAGCCACTAAAGGAGGCCACTGATCTCAGAGAGAACATGCAGGTGAGACAGCGCTTACCTTATTCAGAAACACAGTCCTGACCTGTTTTCAAATGACTGCCAGAACGGCTATATACACCTTATTTTTTTTATTCTTAAAGGGCTAGTTTACCCCAAAATCACCCTCATGTCGTCCCAAGCCTTTAAGACCTCCGATATTTTAGATTTAGTCCCTCCATTGGAAATGTGTGTACGGTATACTGTCCTTTTCCAGAAAGGTAATAAAGACATCATCAAAGTAGTCCATCCATGTGACATCAGTGGGTTAGTTACAATGTTTTGAAGTATCGAAAATACATTTTGGTTCAAAAATAACAACAAACTACGGCTGTATTCAGCATTGTATTGTCTTCCGGTTCTGTTGTGGATCCGCGTTCAGTGCCAGATAGGCACTGACGGGCTTGGGACGACATGAGGGAGAGTCATTAATGACATCATGTTCATATTTGGGTGAACTATCCCTTTAAAAGTGCAGGTGAAGCTATTTGTAACTTGAACGTGTCCGGCTTCCGTTGTCATTTGCTTTCAGTTATTTTACCCTAACCCAAGCAGTCTGTTATGCTGCTTTATATTGCAACATTTTAATTGTTAACATATTTTAATTTCAAATTATGAGCATAAACATACGGGGTTGTAGCTCAAGTAGTTTTACCGTTTAATGCACTTTTTTATTCTTCTAGTTATCTACCTATAGGCGTTAAAGGAGTAGTTCACTTTAAAAAAAAACTTTTGCTGATAATTTACATCCAAGATGTCCATGTCTTTCTTTCTTCCGTCAAAAAGAAATTAAAGAAATTTTCTCCATATAATGGACTTGAATGGGGTCCAAACAGTTAAAAGTCCAAAAGACACTTTTAGTGCAAACTGTTCAAAGGTCTTTAAACGACCCGTTCATCAAAATGAACAAATGTTTTTTCAGAGTCGTTTGGTTCATTCAACGAACGAAACGAACGAATTGACTCGTAAAAAGATTTGTTCATTTTGATGAACGAGTTCGAACAAGAGATTCACAAAAGTGCGTCACAGAACAGAGCAAGGCGACCATTTGAGCTTAAAAAACTTAAACTTTGTTATTTATTTATTAAATGAGTGCTCGTTTCGCTTGATAAGACCCTTATTCATCGTCTGGAATCGTTTAAAGCCCTTTGAACAGTTTGCAGTTTGCACTGAAACTCTAATTTGGACCTTGAACCGTTTGGACCCCATTGATGTCCATTATATGGAGAAAATCCTGGAATGTTTTCATCAAAAACCTTAATTTTTTTCCACCGAAGAAAGAAAGACACGGACATCTTGGATGACACGGGGGTGAGTAAATTATCAGCAAAAGTTTTTTTTAAAAGTGAACTACTCCTTTAATGGATCTCGCACAAGAAAATTGCTTACTTCAGTATCAGTGTTGCAAAATAAGGTGCAAATTAATGCAAAGACACAATAAACCCAGAAGTAACATGCTTAGATGAATATTGTTGCATTCAACCCAAAATCTAAAATAAGAGGAAATAAATTTTATATATTTAAAAATATATATTAAATATAATTGCAAAAAATATATATACATAAAATTTCTTTTCCTTGATTTAAAGCAGCATACCATCATTGCTGTAATGCAATATAAAATATACAATCATATTGCAGTATGGTAATGCAATTGGTAATGATATTTTTTATGGGCTGAGGTCTTGTTATGTTTTCTTTCTTTAGATGTTTAGGTGAAAAATGATCTGGGAAGGTTTTGTGAGATTCACCCATTCAGTGTCTGCAAAGTATGCAAATGCCTCGACTCTGCAAATGTTTAGTTTGAAGCTTGCCAAGACTCTCCAACCTTATTTCATTGTGGCAAGTATCTTCTTTTCATAGCGTGAGAAAGTTGTAGTGCACATCAGAAAGTCGACCCTGAGAAGGAAACGCAGTTTAGAGGACGCTTCTCTTCACAAGGCCAAAAGCATTTGAACCCAAATCTCTGGCACTGATAAACAAAAAACAAAAGAGCTGATTTTAATCAGTTGTAATTCCTCGATGTTGCACAACTTGTCAGACTGGCACAAAAATACTCCGGGGATCAACCGCAGTCCCTTATTTAGCCATGAGAACTGAAAATATACTCATATATAGGCTACAGGTAGGAGATCAGCCAAAATCCTTTTTAATATTTAATGTGGAAAATGTTACATAACTCAGGGTTAGTATGTCCTGAGGCATGTGTCAGTTATATCCCCTTAAGAAGAGATTAGGCTGTCTCATCATGGATAAAAGGAGCGCTTTTTTATAACAGGAAAGCACTGAAGATTTTCAGGAAATAGTTTTTTTTTTTCTTGTCGTTTTAAGATTATACCGCAGATGGTGTTTCAATTTGTTTCCCCTTCATTGGTTTTTGGTCTGTTGCCTTTAAGAATGCACATATAGCAAGCAATCTTGTCAAAATCACCATGACTCATATTCCAGGATCAGTTATAATCAACATAATATTTTAATGCAGCTTCTTTATGCTGCTGCTTTGTATTTGGGCCAAAACGGTTTAAGTGCGATTACATGGAAATTTTGATTAATCGTGCAGCCCTACTAATAAATTAAATTTGTCTATTGTAATGAATCTGGTCTTAAAGGGGTCATACAAGGCCATTTTCATACGAGTTAATTTGATTCTTTAGGGTCTAAATTAAAAGTTTGTAATATACTTTAATTAAAAATTCTCATTAGTATTGTAAGAAAACACTCATTTTACCTGGTCAAAAACAGCTCTGTGTTCAGCACGCCGTTTCAGTGCATGTGCCTTTAAATGATAATGAGCTTCGCTGACTCCGCCCCTCTGTTCTGCGGGTGTTTTGACTATAATGATTATATAGATTGGTGGTTTTGACAATGCATGTGGAGTGTTGCCTTGACAACAGCGGAGGAGATATTTAGAGAATGGCAGCGGGAGTCTCTGAGGACACATCCGTGCAACCGTATCAGTTTGAATGAGTCGGACCCGGACTAAGATGTTATTTGCCAGCGTTTTTAAACACATTTTTTGTGTTCACACCCAAGCGATTTTCGCTGACGATGAGCCGATTGAACATGCTAATTAATTCCCTGACATTAGATGGCGCTTAATGTAATGACATCTCGCCTTGCATCTTCCTCGTCTTCCGGCAGTGTAGACGGTGGCGTATGTGTTCTTCGCCGTTACGTATGTGTGCTTGGTAAGACCTTTTGTGTTTGAGCGCCCCCAAGTTGTGTTTTAAAGATTTTGAATTAAAGATTTCGAGAAAACACAACGACTTTATTCTCGATATTTAATGAGTTTATTCTCAAGATTGTATTTCGACTTCTTTCTCGAAATTTAACAAGTTTTCTCGAAACACAATGACTTTATTCTTGATATTTAATGAGTTTATTCTCAAGATTGTATTTCGACTTTTTTTCTCGAAATTTAACAAGTTTTTTCTTGAAACACAACTTTATTCTTGATATTTAATGATTTTAATCTCAAGATTGAATTTCGACTTTTTTCTCGAAATTTAACCAGTTTTTTCTCGAAACACAACTTTATTCTTGATATTTAATGAGTTTATTCTCAAGATTGTATTTCGGCTTTTTTCTCGAAATGTAACGAGTTTTTTCTCGAAACACAACTTTATTCTCAATATTTAATGAGTTTGTTCTCAAGATTGTATTTCGACTTCTTTTCACGAAATTTAACAACTTTTTTTTTGAAACACTACTTTATTCTTGATATTTAATGAGTTTATTCTCAAGATTGTATTTCGGCTTTTTTCTTGAAATTTAACGAATTTTTTTTTAAACAACTTAATTCTCGATATTTAATGAGTTTGTTCTCAAGATTGTATTTCGACTTTTTTTTCTCAAAATGTAACTTTTTTTTCGCAAAACACAACTTTATTCTCGATATTTAATGAGTTTGTTCTCAAGATTGTATTTCAACTTTTTTTCTCGAAATTTGACGAGTTTTTTCTCGAAACACGACTTTATTCTTGATATTTAATGAGTTTAATATTGAGATTGTATTTCGACTTTTTTTTTTTTTACGAGTTTAATCTGGCATTGTAATGACTTTAATCTCAAGATGATTTCATTTTTTTATTATTGCTTGGCCCAAATCCTCTTCTGTAGGATAGTTTTTTTTTTAAAAAAAAATTACGCTTTTACGTGCGCCGTTTTTCGCATCGGTGTGCACACTCACATTGGCGCCCTTTGTTTAGTCACAAGGTATTAAACAGGCGTTTACGTGAGCTAAAATTGGAGTCAGATTAAACTGAGAGTATGGGAAGTGTTTTAAAAGACGAGACGGTGACAGATAATGCTGAAATATGCATTTCTCTACTCAACAACTTAATGCACTGTGAATCTAATTTTTTTTTTCAAAATAAAATAATGTTTTTTACTAAATTAAATACTGACCTCTTTGCATTACTGCAAGCTTGTTAATTGCCTCAATAATCCAATAGGAAAAATAAATAAATAAATGTCATATTTAGCAGTGCCCTTACTGTCATATACAGGACATATACCGAAATTGAATGAAGTTTTAAAACAGTCTGCACTGCATAAATTATCAATTAAATATGGTCTAATCCTTATTAAAGCTAAAAAGTTCATTAGTCAAGAGCAGTGAGTAATTTTGTTCTTTGATTAACTTTACTGACAGAAAGCTTTATTGGCTTCTGTCCCTTTAAGACTGAGCTTAAATAGACGCGGATCTCACACACACCAACTCTTCACCATCATCATCATCATCATCAGATACTCGACAAAATAGACATTTTGGCATAATTGTGTGTGTTATTGCAAGTTTAAGCATGAGAGAACTATTCTGGTGTGTGGTCTGTGTGCACGATACTGACGCGTGTCTTTCTCTGTGTGTGTGTGTGTGTGTGTGTGTCACACGTTTGTCTTGTTGCACATGAATGTTTTAAAAGAGCGGGATCATATAATACAGTATAAAACACTTTTTTAAAATTCTGACCGTATAATTATCAAGATCGAGTGTAAACTATGTT